CCTTTTTTTTTTTTTTTTTTTTTTTTAAAGCTTCCAACTCTTTAAGGGGTGTTTTGGTTTATTTGAACATAAGCCCTCATTCTTTTATTTGTTTTTTCTTTTAAGATCCATCATATTTAACTGTGTGTCTAAACGGAATGCCCTCTGGGGTTATTTTTAAGTAGGCCCCATTCCTGCCTGTGAGGCAGGCTCCCTTTGGGAGAGCTTGCGTGCAAAACAGTTTCTTTGGGACCAGTAGTGAAAACTTCTCAGCGCGCAGGTGTGTTCTTCCCTGTCAGCTTTCTCTGCAAAAGTGGCGGGTTGGTGCATACGCATTCGCTTGCTTTCTGGTTTTTTTTTAGTCCTCAGGCTCCAGGGATGAGGCTCTAAAGGAGAAACGCACCCAGATCCTGTCACGCGGGCTGCCAAAGCAGAAGCCCATAGAAGGAGTTAAGCAGGTGGTGGTCTTGGCTTCTGGAAAAGGGGGAGTTGGAAAATCAACAACAGCAGGTAAGTTTGTGGAGGTTTTGTGGTGGTTTTTTGTGGTTTTTTTAATTGTTTACTTTACACATTTTGTAATACTTTGTAAGGAATACTTGGGCACTTGTTGTGTCATTACCTTGTACTTGAGTCCCACTAACACAGCCCTTCACCTCTGTCGAGTCCCATTGCAGCCATTGAGAATCTATGTGGGTACAGAGGTCTTGGCTTTAAATGAGGTGCAAATCGAGCAGACAGCTTTGAAATGTCATCTTTGTAATAGTGTAGTGCTGTCCTGGGACAGTCCGCTTGCTTAAGAGGCGGTGTAAACAGAGGTGGAGGGGATCATATGCTAGTGCAGTGATACTGTTCCTCCTTCCCTAGCAGCGTAGGTGTGCCTGTATAGTGCTCCTCTGTGCTATGTTAGCACGGTCATGTGCTCTGTAGAGGATACTATTATTTAGAAGGTTTCAAAATCAGGTGTCTCTCCCATTTTCTCAACTACTTCTATAGGCATTTCATAAACAAAAGATGAAGCAGTAGTTACAAACTACTCCAAATGATCAGAGCTTCGTGAAGCACCTTGAACTCTTCTCTCAGCCCCACCATTATGTTTTGAGTTAATTTTTCTCTTAACTGTGCAGTTCCTAGGTGGTAGAACAAGATAGTACATGGGTTACCAGTACTGCAGAAATTTGCTTGAACTTGAACAAAAATGGCACTGAAGGTAAACCTCTTCACAAAGATCTCTGAAAGTGTTAGAAATTTGTTTAAAAATCTCTTTCTTAGCATCTAGATTAGGAAAAGAGTCATCCTTTAGTTGAATGTTGTCTGCTGTTCGTCTCCATTTGCCATGAATAACTCATTGATGTAGCTCTTAATCTCTCATTCAGCCATGCATCAAAAGGACTGACTGTCTAATAAATACTAGAACAGAAAAACATGATATCCGTAGCAAGAGTAAATCCACTTAAGAAAAAAGAAAAGGGAAATATTTTTTCTGTGCATAGAATACGCTTGTATAGTATCCTATGCATAGGATGCACATTCCTGTACAAAGACATGCAAAACAATTAATACTTGCATTTCTTAATGATGTGCCTTTTGGTTGATGGTTGTAATTCATAGGCTGGTTGTTTCAGGTTACGGAAAATACCAAATATCTGTTTGCAAATCAGCAGGTTTACAAACTAAACATAATTTGAACAGTAAATTCAGATTATCTTCTTCATGTCTGCAAACAAAATTGCTAATTTAAGTTCCGCTAACTGGCGTCTGTATGTAATTTGTACATATCTGTATGTAATCTGTACATAAAGCATGACACATGTATAAATACACTTAAAGAGCTGGGAGTTCGTACCCATGCATTTAAAAATGAAAAATCAGGGTTCAACAAGTATTAAATAAGAGAGTTGAAATGTAAACGAATGATTCAGATGTTGCTGTGTTGGACGGCCTTTTGTTAATGAATGCATTCATTTTGTAATATTGAGAAGAAAAAGGAATCTAGATTCTTTTTTATTAAAATGACAATAAATTTCATGGTTCAGATGAACAATTGAAGATCAGATAACTCATATGAGCACAGGTATTGCATGGCATCGTTGCAGAATTATGTACTTAAATTTTTTTTCTTAGTAATGGAGGTTTGTGGGGAACATGTTTGGTGACAACTCCGCTGACTCACTTTGAGAGCAGGAGTTGGAAAGGAAGGAGGGTGGTACGCACTTCTAATTCCTGAAGCACCACAGAAAATATTATCAGTCTTATTGTCTACATCTCTCTGAAGGACTGTCAAGGTTCTTTGTATTCTTTCCCCCAGTGTGTTTATGTTTCTGTTGCTCCAGATCTCCATTTCAGGACAAGTGGATATGCATTCTGGTCAAGTCTGTCAGGGCCATTTCTTAACATGTCTTTGTGTTTCCGTGGAACTACTCTTTCTGTTTGTTGCATATAGTTTTCATGTTGTATTCTCCGTTGCTACTAGCACTTTTTGGTCTTTTGAAATCAATGTAATCAATTATTAAAAGAAGAAATTGTGTTACAGAAAAAATATTTTCCAATGCATGTTTAAATACTTCGGTTGTTTTTTTGTTGTTGTTTTTGTTTGCCTAGTGTTGGTTTGTTTCCTGTGTTTCCTGTCAAGTTTCTGTCTTTTACTAGCATTCTGCTGTATTTACTCTATCTGGCCAAAGGTGTTTTGGTTATTTTTTTTTTTTCTTTTTGTCTCTTCTGTCCCCTCTTATGCATTACCTAAAGATGGGACTACTGTAGAAAATTGATCCTGTCATAAGAAGACTTCAGAGTGTTTTCTGACATGAAAATCAAGTGAAAAGCAGGCATTGCACCTTCTTCCAGAAAATATCCACATTTAATATATCACAAGAAATCAAAAAAAAGGGGTTAGGACCATCTTTCTGGTCACTGTACTTTAATAGTTTAGGTCAATACTCACCTAATCTCTAGTTTTTAGAAAGTTCACTAGACACCATGGTGAAGGTTACCTGTGGTAGGGCTATTTTAGTTTTATAGTACAATGTCCACTTTTGAAAAGTCAAGTGGGTGCCTCAGAATTTTTTTCTTAATGTTATCCTCTGGCAAAATACTTAGATTGTATTTTTATTTTGCAGTGTCCTCTAGAAACTTAAGAGTTTGCAAGTTTTTGCAGATTAGCTTGAGTTTGTTAGCAAACAGACTGAAACATGGGCGCTGCTGCCACTTAAACTAGTAATGTTGTAGAGGAGCAAGAAGCTTACTACTAAGATGATGAACTCAGTTAAGTGTGATGTATTTATATTTTCTCTTGTTAGAAATGATAACATTCTCAATATTTAGGAATTAAGTTTTCTTGCACTTAATCTTTTTTTTTTTTTTTTCCCTTCCTTTTTCTTGCAGTAAATATAGCCCTCGCGCTAGCAGCAAATGATTCGGTAGGTGAACATCTGATGATCAGCCTTAATGTGAAACAAGTGTGTGAGTCATAAATAAAATGGTTACCGCTGGGGGCAGTCACATACATTAAATCGAAGTATTTACTCTGACAGTTAATTTCTTTATTTGTTTTTCATGGACTTCTGAGCTTATATTAATTTGTTTATATTTTATCAGTACCATGAATGACTTAGTAGCTCTCATCCTTCACCTGGGTTCGGCTGTGTCCTTTCTCTTGTGTGTCTCTGGGTTCAAATGCAGTTCTGCAAGGATGTGTAGACATAGTAGAGGATGTTTGTGCAGGTTGGAGATGCGTAATAAATAATTAAATTCTGTCACTTCAGAGCACTGACTTGGAAAAAATATGAGTAAGTGCTGGATGGTGTCCAAAACATTTTTGATAGCTCTAAACATATACATTTTCCAGAGAAATGAATATGTAAAAATAATTTATATATAAACAGCTGAGGAAAAAAAGGAGCTACGTATCTTCCCTAAAGCTTGGAAATATATTTTATGACTGACAAAATATCACTGCCCAGTTTGGTATCACTCAAACTATTACTTGGACTATAAATAGACAGTGGGAACCATTCAAGTGTAAAACCAACAGGTCTTCCATATGTCCACCTCTTGCTGTAAACTGGGAGTGGTTCCATTGTGCACATTTATGGCCACAGAGGTAAACTCAGAAGCAAGCTTCACTTGCTATGTAAGGATGTATAATGCAGGTTTTGTCCTCATAAAGCATTAATTAAAACCCAAGTATCCTCAAGTACTTTAATCTGGTAAATGTAGTATCTTTTTCTTGTTGTAAAAGAAAATAACAGGTAGAAGGAGTGGGGTTTACGTGCAGTCTGCACAATTCCTGTTGGAATTTTGTAAAAGATTAAAAAAAATTCCATAAACTCAGTCATACTTGATAAGAGAGTATTTAAAGCTGTTACATGAAATATGTACTGTTTGTGATGGCATCTGATCTTGATACTTCACAGTTTTTAATTCTGTGTTTTAAATAGGCTGCTGGAGTAACGATATCAGAGAAAAATCTGTCATCTTGAAAAGCAAAACTGCTTGAATGGTTCCTTCTAATTAACTTTGAAAAACAGCATTTGATGTAATACTTTTACAAAACGAATGTGATCCTGCAATGTGGTCTGTGTAGTATCATGGTCATTGAGTAGCTCCATGGAAACCATGTCAACTAATTGCACATAACTTTCTGTACCAGCTTAAGTGTTTTTAGGATTGTGCCTGATACTTTTCAAATACGCAGTTTTGTGCATTGTTTATATTTAGATAAAGCACCTCTTAGTAACTCTGGCATGCACAAGTTGTGGGATTATGCCCTTTCATTAGGAGTTAAGCATCTGGCTTTAAACATAATGATGCGATACACCACTTCAGTAGCCCATTAAAACACTTTTAAAGCAGACAAATAAGAGAGACCATAGTCTAGAATGGTTGAAGAGGTTGTTGCCGGAGTTATTTGGAAAATCAGGGACTGAGAAATAATTTTAAATGAAATTGAGCCAAGAAAGTTAAGTAAATGTAGAATGAGCTAGTCATTTCTGATAGTATGATTATGTGGTGGTGCAAAACTGGAGGCTAGTGCCTGGTGGATGTTAATCAATGAAGAGCAGCTGAAATTGATGAAGTAGCTGTGACTTGCATGAACTGATGGTCACAACTGAACAAGCTGCTGCCATAGTGAAATTGTGCATTGATGTAATTACAGGTTAGAAAATATGAAATGAAGGTGGATTGAAGAAATTCAATTCTATCTTGTTTGTTCATGCATTTACGTGTGTATATATATATATGTATTTTATGGTAATAATGGCATACATCATGTTTATGTTTAACCTTTGGGTTTGAATTTGCTGGTCTATTCATTTGTGTGCTCCCATTGATTTCAGTTTACTAGCTTTGTGAGTCAGGGTTATGAAATGAGTATCTCTGGGACCTTGGTCCAGGCTGGGATTGTCCAGTGCTCTGAATTGTAGGGATCATTGCAATATTCTGTTTTGTAATGGTAAAATAAATAAGGGGGTTGTTTTCCAGAGTCCATTGGTTCCTCCTGCCGAAGTTCACAGTGAATTTCTTTGACCTCAGATATGCAGCAGTGGACCTCTTCATTTTACATTTAATAACTAGTGATTGTGCGTCTCCTTCCCACGGTTTCCCTTCCCTTCGTTGCTCATCTAATCTCTATTCTTTCCGACGATGCAGGAATGATTCTGTTAGTAGATCAGAGCTTCAGCAGCCTCCTGCAACTTTGTCTCTTACAAGCAAAATACAGATTTATAGAAGCTGATGCTTTAACTGGACGTACTGTTTAAAGGAGGAAAGAAAGGACTCATGGAGACAGATAGGTCACCATGGCAGCAAAGGTCTGTGCTTTCTTCATTAGATGTAGTCTGTTTCTGTTACAAGTTCAATGTGTATAACTAGATTTTCAAAGCAAGTAATATACCGGAGCTAAATTACTCTAAAAAATGTTGTCTTCTGCTCCTTCAAGTCTTTTTCTAAGATTATACAGGTCACAGACTATTGAGAACAACTGTTTTCTGGTGAGGGAGATCTGTGGAAGATGCTTTCAGGGGAGATTGGATTAGAGTAGATTCTTGCTGCTTTCAGTAACAGCTGTGACATCTTATTGTTGTTTGATAGTGTCATAAGCTGGGAAGAAGATTAACAGTCAAAGTATAAAGGAATTTTTTGTCTTCTTGATAAAAGAAAGTTTCCTTCCATCATGTCATGAAAGCCTGCCTTCTATAGTTAAAAAACAAAACCAAAACCCCACTGTTTCTGTAGATTTTTTTCTTTTTAATATGGAAACTTTCTCAGTTATTATAGTGATGGTCTGAAGTATTAAGGCATTGACAGAACCTTGGACATTGCGTGCACAGTATTGTTGGCAGAGCTGGGATTAGAATTCAGGAGTTCGAGTCTTGCATGCTGGTGCTCAGTCTGTTTGGCATATTTTTACCTCATGGTTACAGAGTAAATAATTCAAGACAGGATTTCATTTAGATGCCTAGATACCATGTCCAAGACAAAGTAGGGTTTTTTTGAGTTTTGTTTTGGGTTTTTTTTTGATGCAAAGCCAGGGAAACAAGCAGGGTAGCCTCTTACCCCTTTCTGGAATATTAGGCTTTTCGTACCCTGGGTTACCTGTTGTAGATGGATTAGTTAGGAATTGTATAAGCTCTTGTGTCTGTACCAAGACCTATAAATCTATACAGTGTTCTTTTTGTGTTAAGAAATAACTTAAAGTTTTACCCTTGTGCCCTATTTTTAATTGCTTGCTTAGTTTGACAGCTGATTCTTTTCGTCCTTTTGATGTACCAGCAGTCAGTTGTGCTCCCCTAAGGAGCACTTGGGAAGAATTTTTGGGTTTCATGCCAGGACGATTCATATTCAGACTGGAATGACTGTTCATGAAAGCTGCCTGGCCAGAGACAATTTATTATAGTAGAAACAAGTTGAACTAATAGATGGCAGCAATAATAGGATAGAGATTGCTTGTTTATGAACAGAGTATTTTAGTGAGCAAACACCAGCTGTGCATGACTAAGGATGGCACAAATCCAGTTGGGAGGCTGCATGCCTGTGCTGTCACTATGAGGCAAGCTCCCCAGTCAGATTTCCTGATTTCCTTTGACTCTCCTTTTCTTTCCAGGAAGATTTACATTTTTCACCATAGAATGAAATGGTTTTTGTGTCGTGAAGGACAGAGGAGCAAGAAGTAAAACCATATGGAAAAATTTAGCATGTAAGCATAAGCAAGTGGCTTCTGCCTGCAGTAGCGTGGACACGTGATGAAAGGCATCAGTTTTAACTATTCGAGCCTACTTCTGTGTCAGGGGATTGTTGGGTCAAGCGGTCCAGGACCAGAATGTGAAATACATCAAGGGTGATTTTCATCTTAGGGAGTGGCCTTTGCCTTCCTGAGCAAACCCACTGGTTGCTGAGAAGCGTAGTATTTTAAGTGTGAGACCATGGGTGTTTCTGTAGGGAGGGAGGCGGCTGTCTGGCCGAGGGAGCGCCGGGGGGTGAGTGCTTCTACCCCATTGCATTGCAGTAAAAGGCCAAACACATTGTCCTGTAATGCAAATAAAGCTAGGGAAAGTTGATGATTGGCTAAATGAGAAACACTTATTCAAACAATATCACAGTCAAAGTGTCACAATGCAGGTTTGATTTTGGGGTTTTTTTGGGTTTTTTAAAACAGAAAATGCATGTAAATATCTGCCTAATATATGCATACGCCTGTAAACGGTTTCTCACAAATATATAGTAGGTTATAGCATAGAAATTATGTAGTTAGGAGTAGAGTTTTCATGTGATTCCCTATTGTGATCATAAAATTAGTTTTAATTATTTCAAAATGTGTATTTAATCAAACAACAGACATTAAATCTAATAAAAACTCACCCAGCCTGTTTTTCTTTTACATTCCAGCTTTTTTTCAAATATTTGGCTCCTGTAATTAAACTACTTGTCAACAGGATAATATTTGACTGCTGTGTTAATAGATGACTTCACAATGTATATACATTTCTTTCTGGTAAGGAAAAAATTCTGTGTGGGGAACAAAAAAATCTAGAAGAATTTAGACAATAATGGGTTCCTGCACTGAATAATTATAGCGTGAAGTCAAGTTTTGACCTGTTTTGTCCTCCTCCTATTCAGCTTTTCTGATTATTAGGGTTTGATTTCTAGGCATCTTTACCTTTGTTGCTTAGAGAATCAGAAGACTTTAATTGCTATAGATAAGGTGTTGATGCTTGTTTCTTAATGCTAAGAAGTGTCAGTAAAGCTGGAGATGCCAGTTAGAATTGATTGGGGTTATCTTGCAATGACAGCTCGGCTTCTAGATCAGCTGAGAAAATAAGAGAATAAAGCTTTAAAAATCTTACTGTTTTTCAAGTAAAAAATGAGTGAAATTAAAAATATTTTTAAGCATAGGCCACTTAAAATGTTTTATTTTAATCAAATGACTATATGCTTAATTTGAGGACAATAAAAATGTTTTGGGTTTTTTTTGTTGTTTTTTTTTTAGAGTATCACATGTAGAATTAATTATGTGCATCCTGAGTCTTCAAGTCATTGAAAGCCTAGTGCAGATGTCAGAGAGACTGATGTGAAAGGTGGGGCATGTTTATAATAATTTGGCATGCTGTGAAAGCAGTGAGGCATCTTGTAGAGATACAGTAATGTTTAGGATTCTGCTTTGGATTTTGGTAATTTGTTTTTAAAATGGTGCTGTAGTGAATTTTTTTTTTCAGTAGGATAAATAACGTGCAAGAAAGCCAAATGAGGTTGAATTACTGGTATGTGATTATTTAGAAATCTGACTAGGAGCTACTGCAGATTGTTTCGGAAAAAAGTGCTGGAGAAGTTCTGTAGCAGACAAACAATTAGAAGATCTTTGTATGAAGGAAAAGGGCTTTTAAACCAGTAGAAGGGTGAGTGTCTAAAACACGTCTGCATTTCTAGGATAGAGAGTGAGGCAGTGGTACTATTTTGGCTTTAATCCAATTTACAGCTAGGCGCTTAAATAGTGTGCAGCTGAAAGAGTTAGAGAATTAGGGATTAAAAGATGGCTATTCAGTGTGTCAGTATATCAAATGATGAATCCAGAGACGATCCTGATTTTAAGTTCCCTTTTGTCCTCTGTGTTGCTACTTGCAGTTTGGGATTATCTCTAAGTCTATAATGACATTAAAAGGGTAAATTGAGAGTCCTGGCGGTGGATTACGAGCACCAGCTTTAAAAACAACTGGCACCTTCACTTGGCAAAGCTGGAATTTCTGTCTTTGGAATGGGCTGCAGCTGCTGAATATTGGGAGTGCTTCTAATGTGTGGAATCCTTCACCATATAGAACAACAACAGCTCATTAACCTGTGCCTCCATCCCTCCTAGGCTGAACACCAGGGAATTCTGGTGGTCTGCAGAGTTTACTTCAAAGTAAAATATCATCTGCTAACATCCAGTGGGGATACATATGCCCTACCAAGTATGGAAAAAAGTCCCTGAAAAGATGATCAAAATGAAATTAATGCTGTCAAAGAGTCTCTGGATGTTTAGCAGTAACGTAGGCTATGTTGATTAACAGCTATTTATAGCAGCTTTTTGTGAGCTGATTTTTTCTTCTTTTTTTTTTTTTTTTTTTTTTTTTTTTTTTTTTTTTTTTTCTTCTTTGTTGGCATGAAGTCTTTTATCAGGCTTATTCCTCAATAAAGTGTTTGGCAACTTTGAAGAAATCAATGAATATCACCAGATTCTCTACTGAACACAGAAGTATGTGTGGAGGGTTACTCTGTGATATATGAACGGAACTGCTTGCACTTGGTTGAAAAAATCTGTTACTGGGAAATGTAGTTGATTTCATAGTTAATATTATCTGAAAGACCAAAAAAGGGAGCCTACATTAAGAAAGTGTATCGGAGAGACTAAACAACTCTTACCTGTCTGCTAAAATAGTTAACAGGAGGAAAGATACGGAACATTTTGTCATTAGCATGGATCTATGTAATCTGTACAAGGACCATGGTAAAACTCACCTGCCTAAGAGAACAAATGTAATAGCAACTGGATAATTTTGAATCTGCATAAGGAAAAGCAAAGGAGGCAAAATTTACTGGATTTTTACAATATCTCTCTGACAGTGTATAGAGGGACTGTGTCTAATATGACCTTCAACAATTTTATTTTAATTTTTCCCCCGAAAGGATTTATTACAACTAAGTTCAGAGCTTGAAAATCATTAATTCAGAATACAGCTATCTTGCAAATCTCTGTCGCTCACAAGGTAGTGGCCAAGTTCAAAGGCTAAACTGAACTTTAATTATGAGGGGAATCTTGGCAGAGAAGTTAAAAGAAAGGATCTTTTTAGTGAGGTTATCTATGCCTGTAATTTGTATGCTGCACAAAATGAAGCATGTAGGATTCTCATCTTTCAGGGATACATGCAAGAATATCTTCTTTATCTATACCTGGTGACTGAAAACTTGTTTTCATTTCGTAGTGTAAGTGAGAGAAGATTCTAAATTAGAATAAAAGCTTTACTGTATTTGTAGTGGGGTAAGAGATGCAGTGATTACATAGGTGTAGCTTATGCTGAATACTTGTCAGAAAACTTTAGACAGGTCTAACTGGGCAAAATAATGTCTTGTTGAGATTAATGGTAGTGAAGTAAAAATGATGATTTAGTCAGTGATGTGAAAGCAGACGGTGAAGAAGAGTTATGGTTCTTTAACCACAGTCCTTTATCCTGTAATTATTTTTTTTTCTTTCTGTGGTCTTGAGCTCACTGATGATTGGATGAGACCATGACAGCCAGAAAGAGCAAATCTGCAGTAGTTAGCCTAGGCTAGAGAACATTTAGCTAGAGAGGGGGGAAACCTTCAAAGCATTGATAAGAAGGTAAATATGAACATCTGTGAGTGTTTAAGTACACTTTTTGCTGAATAGACCAAGAGACTACTTTTGTGTTTTCATGTGCCGACAGTATATTTATTTCTAATTTTGTGTTCTCTCTGCCCGATGGAATATTGATAAGGATCTTACTGAAGAGGTCAATAATTCTGCATGTGTTACTTCAGTATATTTTTTTGAAGTAGCTTGTCATATGTCCAGTGATGTAGAAGTACATGATTAAATCATATGGGAATGGTTACGTAGCCGGTTATATCTTCAGAGTATTAAGTTGTTCAGAACTTGCAGTTAGGCAACAAAAGAATACAGGTCTCTAGAAAGTATTTTCCAAGTGTAATAAACTTGAAGACTGATTCAAACTTAATTCCACATCTGGGCAGGTGGAAGGAAAAGGACAATTGTTAACTCGAGAACAGCTGTTTTGAACTTGGTTATTGCTATGCCAGCTGGAGAGACAGAATGCTGTTTGTTAGTAGCGCAGGATAGAAGTATTTTCTTAAGGAGAAAATGCAGCCGTAAGAAGACTGTGGAGTTGTATTACCTGGATCCTTTTCTTACTGAGTGCTGAGGGTGGCTGTAGCAGTGGTATGTGCTGTGCTCTCAAAAACACTTAGAAGCAGGGGGGCTTTGACATGCTTGGGTGTGCTTTTGACTGCTGTGTTTCTGTCTGCATAACCCTAATATTACTTCAGAAAAAACTGACTCAGCATTGGTAAGAAATGCATATGAAAATAAATGTCAGAGGACATTAGAGGAGTCCTAGAGCTTTTTTTTCCCCTTTTTTTTAAGTTGTCTTAGCCTTGGTTGTGTAATATGTTCCTATGCCCAGATGTTCTTTTTTGCCTTGTCTGATGTTATGCATGGTTTTTAGGATTCATTTTAATACAGCAGTACTTTGAAAGGTGTGCTGTTTATATGAGGTGTAGGTTATATGGGTGAAAACACAATTTGTTAAAATCTAATTTTTTTTTTTTTTATTAGTGTAACTCATACATCTGGATTAAACTTCACTCAGCATGAGAAGTATCTGGTGTTGGTAATTCTGATTAACAGTTTCATGTATTAGCATCCAGGTGTATACAAATTATTTCATCTCTTGGGGATTTAAAACGTTGTGAATGCTGGAAGAGATAATCTGGGGAGTGCTGTGCATGTCTTAAAAGATCCCTTGGTAGCTGCCATAATGCTTTTCCAAGATAATTAAACCTTGAGTAAAGGGTTATTATTACTCTTCTAGGGATGCTTACATGCTGCGAGAGCAGGGATAGTTGGGAGAAACAAAAATCAAAACCTTAGCTTATTGGGCCAGCGCTTTCTGTGTAAGCTGCTACTTTTAGGCAGTATGAACTCTTTTTACCTAACATGTTGAATTGCTTGCTGAAGAAAAAAACCCCTTACCTTAGGCTATCTTTAGTGAAGTTCTGCCAATGATTTAAAGATTTTTCCAAAAGACCTTTCTCCTATAATCCTGTAGAAAGCACCATGCCTACAGAAACACTTGTGCTGTCATTAACAATACTTGTAGAAACTGAAGAATCTGTTAATTATTTTTATGTTTGAAGACAACCGTTTTGTTGAACCATATCCACGAATGAAAGTAGTGCATCTTGGAAACAGGCATCATTCTTACTTTTCAGGAAGCATGTAAATTTTTTTGAGAAACTGTCAGGTTTATTGTATTACCTTGAAATAAAGATCAGCTTTGTAATTAGGAGTAGCAGCTGAATTTACAAAGTCCTCCTAGATAATTGAGGAATGTTTTTCTCCAGCGTGCGTGAATTTATTCTTCATTTCATGAAATTCAGTGCACTCATAGATACACTCCTGCTGACTCCTAGGACTGTGGTGGTGAAGATCTGCCTACGCCCAGGATGTCGTTAAGTTAATTAATTTAGATCATCCTAAATCTTCAGACCCTTTAGGCTGAAAACAAAACTGTAGTAGTTAAAAGATCATTGTAGTTAGTCAGTCAACGGATACTCACAATCCTTATTGGGGGAAAAACCCTCAGAATGTTGAGGGAGGGGATGTCAGTCAGGTTTAAAATACTACGTAGGTTCTTCTGCAAATATTTACTTTCATTTGAGAAGTAATTAGGTGGCACAGCCCTTAGATGATGTTTTGATGGGTTCGATTAGCTGCTGACACAGATAAAGGGACTGAGTCATGAATCTTTCTAATCTGTTAAAATATGCATTTTGTACAAGAACAAAGAAGCTCTAATACTGTTGTTGATGTCTTTGAAATCTAACATAAAAATGGGTCTTTTCAATCTTTTTGAAATTGCAGCTTTCATACAGTAGGCAAGAAGTAGAATAATTTGTCAGAGTAACTCCTGAACTTTTTTGTAATAGCTTTCAGAAGATGTTATAAAGAAAGCAACATTAAAAAATCTAAATTAAATAATCCATGTAATTATATATGCTTTGCTCAGTTTAATAAAAGAGTATATTGAATAACTGAACCCAAATTTGGTTTATTTTTGTAATGAAAACTTACTTTTCAAAGTATGTAGTAGATCACGAATGGTAATGCATTTTTTTACTTCTCAGTTGTAGAATTTAAGATACATGTGGCTTATATTAGGTAAATTTGACACTTTAAATTGCTCAGCTATTAAGGGTGTCTTCAGGTTCACTATCAACAGCGTAAAAAAAGAGGAGGAGAAGAAAAAAAGAAAGCAAGCCCCACAGAACAGCAAACCCCCAAACCCAAATTATTATATATGTTGTAGTAAAAAGGGTCAGTCTTGCTTCTCAGGTGTTTGGGCTTCTGTGAATTAGTTTCCTTATCTTAATTGAATTTCGGATTTATTTAGAAGAGGTGGCCTGAATACCTATGTTTTTAATCCAGGTGCATTTCTGTCTTTAAAAAAACCGAATGAACTGATTGCGATGCCATAGAATGTACTTTATGTTTAGAAATCCTGTTCAAGGGTAGAGGTGCTGTATCCTTGCATTAAAAGCCACGTTATACTCTCCTTCTAAGCAGAAACTGGATAGTTATCACTGAGCCTTTTTCTCCATCTTTCCCATCAAAACTGTGATAACAAAATGGCTTAATATGTGATACCAAATTACAAAAGCTTCGTCCAAAAAATGAAGCACACATTTTGAAACACTTAACAGTGAAAGTCTGATTTGGCATCGTTGGAAAAGCTCCCATTGCCGCCTTAACCTTTCAGACAAGCCTTTAAACATACTTGCTTGCAATTTTGCAAAATGTTGAACACAGTTAGCTTTTTATATTAGAGAAACTTGACGTTCAGCACTTTAAAGGGCTTGCTCTTTACTACTTAATTTGCAGAACTTGGTAATTGGTAGCGTGTCTTGCCATCTGTAGGAAAAATAGTTTTAATTTCCACAAAATATGTATGTATATCTATAAAAAAGCATATAGAAATGAAACTTGTAAGTCTAGACTACATAGTTGAAATAGTTGTTTTTAAAGTTTATTGCCTAATGTACCATATGTAGTTGAGTAAACCCATCTTTAGCATTCTTTTGTGTAAATGCATTTGATTAAAATGTTATGCCTGCTTAACTGGCTTCAGAAACTTGCATTCCAGTATTTCCAAGATGTCTGCAAAAGTTTACTTTGGCCACTTAAATGGAAGATAAAAATATGGTGTTTGTTTTGCAGATTCCTTGTAGTCACTAGTATAATTCAAATTGCATTTATTTGAATATATTTACAAACATTGCTTATTTTTTTTTTTTACAAAAAAAATTGATACCTCTAAAAAATGTTAAAATACTATTTCTGCCTGAATGTACGTGGAGCAGAGAGAACATTGCTTATAATGTTTGTTGATATAAAGTCCGTGGTCTACATTGTAAGTAAGAAAATGTGCAAGTGAGGATTCTGTGTATTGAGAATCTTGATTTTGTGAAGATGTCTGGCTCAACTTGTACAGATGTTGTTATTTTTCGTACTTCAATCGCAATTTAGAGAGAAGGGAAACAGTGATAACTTATGTCTAAAATAGAGATAATACTTCTATTTCTATGGGCAGTTTTGAAATTTTGCTTGACTAATAATTCATAAAGGAAGACAGATGTTTTGAAAAATGCTTTTTTCTGTTCCTTAAACAGACAAAAGAAGTTGGTTTACTTGATGCAGACATTTATGGACCTTCAATTCCAAAGATGATGAACTTAAAAGGAAACCCTGAATTAACACCAAGTAAGTGGAAGTGATTTTTCTCAGTGTTCTTTGTAAAGAGATGAGCATGGACCAATCATTGGTGCTTCCTTGGTATGGCACAGAAGGGATGCAATCAAAAGATGAAGACTTAGTGTATTTTTTTTATTATTCTTAGTAACGAGTTTGCTTTCAAAGCTACCTTGTAAAACTAGTAGCATATTCAGAGTCTTTTCTTTTATGTTAGTCCATAGGCTTTAGGAGTTTCATGGATTATTACTAGAGACACTGGAAAGGGTAGCTAGGAAAGGAAGATTATTATCAGTAGTTTTAAACTTACTATACAGGATCCCACTTAAAAACATGTAACCACAGACAACACCAGTCCCGCGCTATAACACCTGGCCTACACATTAAAAAGTACTAGGATCCTACTGAAGAAAGTACAAACTGGCAATACTTGTTGACAGGGAGGGATCAAGGACATGTACCAGTTCAAATAGGACATAAAAGGGCTTCAGTGAAATAAGAAACTGTAAATACCCATTAATGTTTGTGGGCAGTAATTGCTAGGTAAAAGGGAAGTTAAATATTCCTTCTACTTCCTTTCATGCCATGATCTTTGTTTATTTATCATAGAATCATGGATTTGAAAACGAATCTGTAGAGTAATCCTGGGAAGCAAAGAGTGTTCTTGCACTCTTTGATTTCTATTTCTTTTCTCACGTGTAGCAGTTGGAAAGGGATTAGGGATGCCTGGTACCATACAAATTAAATCTGTGCAGCAATTATAACCTCTGAATAGAAAGTATTATAGTCATGCTATAATTTGAGTTTTCAAAATGAATTAGGATTTCTTAGTGAGGAGAGAGTCTGTATAAATGGAAGATACCCCATTAATTTGATTTTGCAAACTCTAATACATTAGAAAGTCTGCTAACATTTAATAGGGTGTCATTCGAAATACTTTAACTAAATGGTCGGGGAAATATTGGTTAATAAGTTCATAACTGAATTTAATTAGCTAATGGAGGGTTATCTAACTGTGGTATAAATATTAGCATCAGCTACAATATATACACAGGGCAACGCTTATAACACAAGTAACAAAAGCATTACTTCTATTCTTTTCCCAAATAATTTACTTAAAAGCCGTTTTCTGGCTTAGTGAACAGCATAATTTTTTTTTTTCCTTCTTTTTAAATCTACCATTTAAACTAGTTGGCAGAGACTAAAAGCTATTACATTGCCAAAAAGATATTGCCGTTTTGCCAGATAAATATAACATTTCTTCACTTAATTTAAAAGATTATGAAGATTTTGGTGGGCTTTTTTTCTTTATGATAGTTGAGTGCTCGCAATATTTCAAAGCTTTGTTGCCATTTTATGATATCCTCAGTGTCTTTTTTTAGTTCTTAATAAAATAGTGTATTCAAAAGGTCAGTAGTGGGCATCTGTTTTCACAACTTGGAATAAAAAATAATTTCTGAGAGAAAGCCAGCAGTAGTTGTGTTTGGCCCCGTTTAGTCAAATAATATTGCAGGAGCTATAGAAATTAAATTACTGACAAAATTCTAAAGTCAGAAATGGACAGTTCCATTTTTTCCCTGGGACACACTTATGTGTCTGCTACTCTTTAGACTAGGATAGCAGAATCACAGAATGGCAGGGGTTGGAAGGGACCTCGGGAGGTCATCTAGTCCAACCCTCCTGCTAAAGCAGGTTCACCCAGAGCAGGTTGCACAGGACATCATCCAGGCGGGCTTTGAATATCTCTAGAGAAGGAGACTCCACAACCCCCCTGGGCAGCCTGTTCCAGTGCTTTGTCACCCTCAAAGTAAAGAATTTCTTCCTCATATTCAACTGAAACCTCTCATGCTTCAGTTTGTGCCCACTGCCCCTTGTCCTGTCGCTGGGCACCACTGAGAAGAGGTGACATCATGACATCCACCCTTGAGATATTTGTATGTGTTGACGAGATCCCCTCTCGGTCTTCTCTTCTTACCAGGCTAACCAAGCCCAGCTCTCTCAGCTTTTCCTCATAGGACAGATGCTCCAGTCAATCCTATAACAGAAAGCGATAATTTAAAATAGAATCTGTTGTGACTGTTTAAAGATGTCTGCTGGAAATGGCAGCATCCATTTGAGGCTTATAAATAGAAAATTTGGAGTGGACTAGTTAAATAGAGAGTGTTGCATAGGTAGGTTAGTTATTGAGATAACCATGAAGAAGTTTCTTGATCTTATATGAGGGTTTAATTTTAAAGATACAGCTTGTATTCTTATACAGAGTTGTCTTTGTCATGCTTTACCAGTGGCACTGCATCACGATTAATTTAATTAAGAACTAAATCTGATTCATTCACAGTTGTATTTGCGACTGCCATTACTTCTTGATTTGTGAACCAGTGATTTTTAGATTGTGTATAGGCTGATGGTATGCTTTACTGATTCTGCTTTGAAAGAATTCTGAACTGAGACCCTGTGTTTTATTTTTGGTGATGTATTATCCCAGTTTATCTGGATGGCTGAAATAGAGTGGTCCCATGTGTCTTATATGTGACAAAATAATAATCCAGAGTGTTATAATTAGTTATGGTTTATATTTTGGAGGCTCTTTCATATGCGATGAGGTAGTTGAAAATGGGAAGAATACTCAAGTATTAAATATTTTATTCTGGACTTTGACTATTGCCTTCAAGTCTGTAATGATTAACCTCAAGCTGGATTAATTCAGATATTGTTGAGTTCACTTGTGGGAAAAAAATTGATGACCTTTACTTGGAAAGGGAAGGAGGTGGAGGATACCCAACTCTGCAAGGAATTATTTCTAGGCATGCAGTTATTAGCTGCTGTTTAAAAAATAAAAAAGCCTCTAGACAGTTAATTTATTAAAATACTATTCTTCGTTTTACATAAGTTCATACTTAAAATTACAAAAAAGTAAGGCAAAAGAGTGTGAGATGAGAAATGTAGTGTAGTAATTAAAACCTTTTACCAAGAGCAGTCTTTTTTGGATAAATGGCAAATCAAATTTTACTAAATGCTATTGCAATATAAATTACTGAAACAATGTAACCTGAAAAAATACGTTTCAAGTACTTGAAACGGAAGTGTATTACTCTTCACATTGTTAATCCTGCAGTGCAGTAATTATAAATGTCTTGGTAAGGGTTATGGCTAGCAAATACTCATTACGTGATAAAGTTTACTCTCAGAGATACAAATGGTTTGTCTGGTTCAACTTTTATACAGATTGGAATTAAATTGCAGAGTGGTTTTATTATAATAACATGATAGATACGCATTTCATTGTACATGGATAACAAAAGAAATTATTTTTTTTTTGTTTGTACACTGAACACGTTTACCTTTTTGCTTATTTCAGAGGAATAAATGTTTCCATCCCTTTTCTCTCCTAGAGGTAAAATTAAAGAACTGTAACTAATTCTGAACTTTCTGAATACTTTTACCTTGCAATTTAATTTTCATGCTTTTTTCTCTGTGGGTTTCTTGCTTTATTTTCTCTCTTTCCTTCTCCTTCTCTACAGTACAATGGAGTGGCTTTTCAGAATAAAGAAATTAAGTGGAATACATAAAAAATAGAAAAAAATGTATTTTAATCCTTTCTCTATAGTGATCAGAGGCTAAAAATGACAGTAAGAGTTTAAAAGCTGCCCATCTCCATTGCTTTAATTGATGGTCATAATCATGTAAAGTACATAGAACTTCACTTTACAAGTGGTGAAACTTGAATAAAATCACAGAAGGATGTGTGAGGGGATTCATGTGACATGCAAATGGTAATATTTAATATACACAAACACTTTTTTTTTTTAAATGGAGAATCAACAAGTTTACTGTATCCCCCCCCCCCCCCCAAATTAAAAATAATCCTTTGAAAATTTTTTCTTCCATGTCTTTTTAACTACATTTCTTTTATTTTGGGTCTTGATTACCATATCAAACCTAAAAAGGCTGAATCGACTCAAATGTACTGAGTTGCGTAGTTTTGCTTGGAAAGCAATCAAAGCCCTTAGTTAACCGGCATCTTTTTTGAAGCTAGAGCTTCTCCCTGTTCTGCCTTACTGTTGGCTGTCATGCTGTTGTGTGGCTGACCTGGGCAGCCCCCCTGGCACAGAAGCAGGGCAGCCCTTCAGATAATGTGAGCCTTCCCGGAGGTTTCATGTGTCAGGACAGAAGCCTTGAACTGAACATCGTATTAGTCTATTTCATTCCTCATGGGTATAATGAATGAAAAGAATCCACCCAAATTAGTCTAATAAAGCTTTTGATCCACTATAAATAAACTTTTTCTTTGCTCCATGGGGATCTGAGGGCTTTTCAAAATGTGGGTTATTTTAGTGATTGTAAGGAAGACATTTGTGATGGAAAGGTAATGGCAAGATACTTAAAACTAGTCCTGTGTTGCTGTTCTAAACCTAACAAGTCAACAGTGGTTTAACAAAAATATGACTAAATCACTGTGCTGTATACTTGTGCCAGACTTGCTTTTGAAGTATAGTCTTCCAGCAAGCAATTTGTTCTTTTGCTTTTAGGATTTTAGGACTGATGAAGTTATATCTGCAAAATAGTTGTGTTAATGAAAAAGCTTTTACAGAGCTTTGTTTCCTCTGCAGTCTATCAGGAAGGGGAAAAAAGTGGAAAGCCTACTCAGGTAATGGAATTAGTAGACTGACTAAATATGAGAAACAAATCTGGAAAAAGCTGCATTTTTTTTATGCGTTTGTTTCTTAAAATTGAACTGTGAGCACTGAATAACGCTCTTTGAGTCTCACTGCTAGTTTGCTTTGTTTTAAGTATTTGTGATGTCTTTGTGGTTAGGTAAGACTCTTGGTGCGGGGTGTAATGGGAAATCACAGCTTTCCTTGTTTGGAGCTCTTCAAGCTTAAAATACAAATTGCAGTATTTCTGGGGCAGTCCTGCAAATAAACTTATAACACAGTGTGAAATCAAGCTTGAAGTCTCAATTAGTCTGTCACTTGCCATAGAATATTCTGGGCTTCTGGCATAAGCAGTTA